GGACTGGACCAGGACCAGGAGCCAGGACTGGAGCAGGACCAGGAGCCAGGACTAGACCCGGACCAGGAGCCAGGACTGGAGCAGGACCAGGAGCCAGGACTGGAGCAGGACCAGGAGCCAGGACTGGACCCGGACCAGGAGCCAGGACTGGAGCAGGACCAGGAGCCAGGACTGGAGCAGGACCAGGAGCCAGGACTGGAGCAGGACCAGGAGCCAGGACTGGAGCAGGACTTATAAGTGGGTCAGGGAGAGGAGCCGTGGCCTTAAAAGGAGCGAGAGGGGAGAGGATCTGGGTCGGTCCTGGTTTGGGTTCAGCTGACAGAGGTGGAACTGTCAGTCCCCTCGCCCCCTGGTGGTGGAGCAGGGTATTACAACTATACTCCACACTCAAAACACATGTCCCAGTGTTTGTTTGGTTTTTTTCTTGTTTGTTTTTTTGTTTTTTTCTGTGTAAAAGCTAAATAACCCTGTAATTTATACTCTACAAACATGTCCCTGTACTACTACAACTACTACTACTACTACTACTACTACTACTACTACTACTACTACTAACTACTACTACTACTACTACTACTACTACTACTACTACTACTACTACAACAACTACTACTACTACTGACTACTACTACTACTACTACTACTACTACTACTACTACTACTACTACTACTACTACTACAACTACTACTACTACTACTACTACTACTACTACTACTACTACTACTACTACTACTACTACTACTACTACTACTACTACTACTGCTACTACTACTACTACTACTACTACTACTACTACTACTACTACTACTACTACTACTACTAACAACTACTACTGCTACTACTACTACACTACTACTACTACTACTACTACTACTACTACTACTACTGTACTACTACTACTACTACTACTACTACTACTACTACTACTACTACTACTACTACTACTACTACTACTACTACTACTACTACTACTACTACTACTACTGCTACTACTACTACTACTACTACTACTACTACAACTACTACTGCTACTACTACTACTACTACTACTACTACTACTACTACTACTACTACTACTACTACTACTACTACTACTACTACTACTACTACTACTACTACAACTACTACTGCTACTACTACTACTACTAACTACTACTGCTACTACTACTACTACTACTACTACTACTACTACAACTACTACTGCTACTACTACTACTACAACTACTACTGCTACTACTACTACTACTACTACTACTACTACAACTACTACTGCTACTACTACTACTACTACTACTACTGACTACTACTACTACTACTACTACTACTACTACTACTACTACTACTACTACTACTACTACTACTACTACTACTACTACTACTACTACTACTACTACTGCTACTACTACTACTACAACTACTACTGCTACTACTACTACTACTACTACTACTACTACTACAACTACTACTACTACTACTACTACTACTACTACTACTACTACTACTACTACTACTACTACTACTACTACTACTACTGACTACTACTACTACTACTACTACTACTACTACTACTACTACTACTGCTACTACTACTACTACTACTACTACTACTACTACTACTACTACTACTACTACTACTACTACTACTACTACTACTACTACTACTGCTACTACTACTACTACTACACTACTACTACTACTACTACTACTACTACTACTACTACTACTACTACAACTACTACTGCTACTACTACTACTACTACTACTACTACAACAACTACTACTGCTACTACTACTACAACAACTACTACTACTACTACTACTACTACTACTACTACTGCTACTACTACTACTACTACTACTACTACTACTACTACTACTACTACTACTGCTACTACTGCTACTACTACAACAACAACTAGGAAAACTAATTCTCAAAAATGCAAAGAACCACGTTTAAAATGTCAAATTATTTAGGTCAGAGTAGTAGTAGTAGTAGTAGTATACCAGCAGTAGCAATAGTAGTAGTAGTAGTAGTAGTAGTTAGAATAATATGGGTAATAGTAGTAGTAGTAGAAACAGTAGTAACAGCAAGAGTAGTAATAAAATAGTAGTATTAAAAATAATAGTAATAGTAGTAGTAGTAGCAGTAGTAGTAGTATTATTAATAGTACTCGTAGTAGCAGTAGTAAAAATAGCAGTAGTAGTATTAAGAGTAGCAGTAGTACATTAGCAGTAGCAGTAGTAGTATTAGTAGTAGTAGTAGTCATAGTAGTAGCAGCACCAACAGTAGTAGTAGTTGTAGAAGGAGTTGTAAAAATAGCAGTAGTAGTAGTAGTAATAATAGTAGTAGTAGTAGTAGTAGTAATAGTAGTAATAGTAGTATTATTAGAGGTACTGTTAGGATTAAACCCGGGATAAATGTTTCTTGTGTATATTTCATCAAAATTGTCAAAAGTTTGCCAAGTTTGTTGTAGACAGGTTCTGTACTTCAACAGGTACTACGATCACTACTACAACTACTACATAAACTACTCATATTTATTCACATTCAGCAGCATCATGTGTGTAAAGTGTCTTGCTCATGGACACAACAACAACAACAACACTAAACTGAACTGGAAACATTACGACACAGATCAGAAAAGAGCGTAATATGAGAACTTTAAAGTACACGGGAGAGTAATTTGATCGATCTGTTTTGTATTATTATTTTATTTTACGTCAGATGCCCTCGTTCTCTCCCTCTCACCCTTTCACCCGCTCGTTCATTCACTGGACTCAAAACAAACACCGTGTGTGCGTCACGACTCAGACCAGAGATCAGACCAGAGTCCAGAGACGCAACATCACAAACCGCACTGATAACGAGAAACTTTGGGGTTGGGGGTCAGTCACCTGCTTGTTTCTATGGAGAAATGTTCCACGGTGTGACTTTAAACAGCTCTACTTTACATTTATTTAATTCCAGGTGATTTTAAGACTCAAAAATACAGCAGAAAAGTTACAGAGTGCACCTGTGAGGTAGCAGTAGTAGTAGTAGTAGTAGTAGTAGTAGCAGTAGTAGTAGTAGTAGTAGTAGTAGTAGTAGTAGCAGTAGTAGTAGTAGTAGTAGTAGTAGTAGTAGTAGTAGTAGTAGTAGTAGTAGTAGTAGTAGTAGTAGTAGTAGTAGTAGTAGTAGTAGTAGTAGTAGTAGTAGTAGTAGTAGTAGTAGTAGTAGTAGTAGTAGTAGTAGTAGTAGTAGTAGTAGTAGTAGTAGTAGTAGTAGTAGTAGTAGTAGTAGTAGTAGTAGTAGTAGTAGTAGTAGTAGTAGTAGTAGTAGTAGTAGTAGTAGTAGTAGTAGTAGTAGTAGTAGTAGTAGTAGTAGTAGTAGTAGTAGTAGTATGAATAGTAGTAGTAGTAGTAGTAGTAGTAGTAGTAGTAGTAGTAGTAGTATGAATAGTAGTAGAATGAATAGTAGTAGTACTAGTAGTAGTAGTAGCAGTAGTATGAATAGTAGTAGTACTACTAGTAGTGGTACTAGTAGTAGTAGTACTAGTAGTAGTAGTAGTAGGAGCAGGTCAAAAACCTTTAAAGTACACAAATATATGAAATAATGAAATAAAAATTTCCATGTTTGTTGGTAATTTAATCCATCCATCCATTTTCTTCTGCTCTTCTGGACTGGGTCACGGGGGCAACAGTCTGAGGAGGGACTCCCAGACTTCTCTCTCCACACACACGTCCTCCAGCTCTTCCAGGGGGACCCCAAGACGTTCCCAGGCCAGCCCCGAGACATAGTCCCTCCAGCGTGTCCTGGGTCTTCCCCGGGGCCTCCTCCCGGTGGGACATGCCCGGAACACCTCCCGAGGGAGACGTCCAGGAGGCATCTGAAACAGATGCCCGAGCCTCAGCTGCTACTCGCAACGTGGAGGAGCAGCGACTCTACTCTGAGCTCCACCCCCCACAGGACACCACAAGGGACACGGTCGAATGCCTTCTCCAAGTCCACAAAACACATGTGGACTGTTTGGGAAAACTCCCATGAACCCTCGAGCACCGATGGAGAGTGTAGAGCTGGTCCAGTGTTCCACGGCCAGGACGAAAACCACACTGCTCCTCCTGGATCTGAGGTTCGACTATCGGCCGGATTCTCCTCTCCAGTCCCCTGGCATAGACCTTACCGGGAAGGCTGAGGAGTGTGATCCCCCTATAGTTGGAACACACCCTCCGGTCCCCCTTCTTATACAGAGGGACCACCACCCCGGTTTGCCAGTCCAGAGGTTCTGTCCCCGACCGCCACGCGATGTTGAAGAGGCGTGTCAGCCAAGACCCACAACATCCAGAGACTTAAGGTACTCAGGACGGATCTCATCCGACCCCGGAGCCTTGCCACCAAGGAGCTTTCCAACCACCTCAGTGACTTCAGCCAGGGTGATGGATGAGTCCGCCTCCGAGTCCCCAGCCTCGGCCTCCTCCTTGGAAGACGTGACGGTGGGATTTAGGAGATCCTCAAAGTATTCCTTCCACCGCCGGACAACGTCCCCAGTCTAGGTCAGCAGCTCTCCCCCCGCACTGTAAACAGTGTTGGAGAAGAACTGCTTCCCCCTCCTGAGGCGCCGGACGGTTTGCCAGAATTTCCTTGGGGCCGTCCGATAGTCCTCCTCCATGGCCTCCCCGAACTCCTCCCAGCTCTGAGCTTTTGCCTCTGTCACCGCACGAGTCAAGAGTCCCACGAGCCAACAAGGCCCGATAGGACTCGTCCTTCAGCCTGACCGCACCCTTACTTCCGGTGTCCACTACTGGACTCGGGGGTTGCCACCACGACAGGCACCGGAGACATTACAACCACAGCTACAAGCAGCCGCTTCGACAATAGAGGCCGAGAATGAAGCCCACTCGGACTCAATGTTCCCAGCCTCCCCCGGAATCTGTGAGAAGTCCTCCCGGAGGTGCGAGTTGAAAGTCTAACCGGGACTAAACCAAGACCCAAAGTCCCCGTAAAAACTCAGTCCAAGTCCGGTTGAACTTTTACAAAGGTAATGTTTATTCATATGTACATGTATATATTATTCTATGGCCGATAAAAGGAGAATGTACAAAGCAAAAAAAAACTGAAAATCTGTACAAAATTAATAAATAAAATCAAAACATTGTTAATTTACAAGACACGCGGAAGGGACAAAACCAGGAGGCAGTTTTTGGACAAAATTCTGAAATTCCGACGGACAATGGCACCCAAACTCCACACGTCACTTTGAATTTTCATTTTGTTGTAAACCTTTTTTTTTAAATTCACAAAAATGGTGAAAGGACACGAAACTACAAAGTACATTTAAAGCGATTTTTTAAAAAAGAATTTCACACCAGACTCACTCAAACCCACGAGAAAAAAGAAACTGCTGCAGAAAATTTCAGGTAAAATTTGAGAATAATTTTGGAATAAAAGTGCAAAATTAAAGTGCATTTTAAAATTTGGAATTGAAATTTTTGATAAAATTTGAAGCAAGTGGTGGTGGCTATAATTGTCAGCAGAAGCAGAGCAGAAGCTTTGAATTAAAATGATTTCTAGTAAAAACAAAAAAACAAAAACATAATTGAGCAGAAATAATCAAATTTTAAATATTATCTTGCTTACTTTAATAGGAAAGGAAGAAATTTGGGGATTTTTTTTCTAAAAAAAATAAAAATAAAATAAAATTAAATAAATTGTGTGGAAATAATATAATTTTAAACATAATCTTGCGTTATTTTTCTGTACATATTCTGTATATAAAATTTATTAAATTTGGGTTTGTTTGTTTTTTTCAACCAAATTTTAAAAAATGTATAAAAAAATGACACAAACAAAAAATAAATTGTGTAGATATAATACAATTTTAAACATTATGTTGCAACATTTTATTCTCTTATTTCAATATTTTAAAAAAGAACATTGGGATTTTTTTTCCACCAAATATATAATTTTGAAGTAACAGTACTAGTACTTTAGTACAAATTTGGCTACTATACCTACAACTTCAGGTGTCTTAAGTCAGTATCATAAATAGTAGCAGAAGTAGCGGTAGTAGTAAAAGCAGTGGTAGAATTAGTATAAGTAAAAGTAGTAGTAATAGTCATAGTTGTAGTAGTTGTTGTTGGTGGTAATGGTGTAGTAGTAGTAGAAATAGTAGTAGTAGTAGTAGTAGCAGAAGTAATAGAAGTACATAATAGTAGTAGTAGTAGTAGTTGTTGTAGTAGAAGTAGTACAAGTAGTAGTAAGTAGTAGTAGTAGTAGTAGTAGTAGTAGTAGTAGTAGTAGTTGTTGTAGTTGTTGCAGTAGAAGTAGTACAAGTACAAGTAGAAGCAGTAGTAACTGTAATAGTGGTAGAGGAAGTTGTAGTAGTAGTAGTAGTAGTAGTAGTAGTAATGATCTAAATGGGGGAAAGTGTTAAATATTTTGTCAGTTTTTTCCTGCGTCGCTCGTGTTTGCTGCTCAAAACTGGAACCACACAACATTTTTTCAAATTTACATCCAAAATTCTGAAACAATTTTGAATTTCTTTTCTTCAGCAGTTTCTTAAAATCCTGACTTTAACTTGAACTTTTTTTTATCTCCAATTTCATACATTTTGTTTCTCTTTTTCCATAAAACAGTTCACACACGTCTCACTATGGAAGCCTGTCTCTTTTTTTGGCACGAAATGTTGAAATGCAATGGACCTATCTGACAATTGACCATGTTACATTTTTTTATTTCTTTACTCGAACAATTTGAAATGTTTTTCGTTGGATTCACAGTGCATCGCAGAGTTTCACTTTCAGACTCACAGTGTTCAAACGCTCTGCCCCGAATTCTTACGTTTTTATTTTATTTTTTTTTACATTTTCTGTCTTTAAAATATCGATATTGCATCCACCATCGTAAAAGTTAAACAAAACGAAACCTTAGCAAACGAAAGCGGTTGTTAGGTTGCTATGACGACGGGCGATAAAACGGCAAAACGTAGTGTCAAAATTTCAAATCTAGTGCTTTTCAAAATAAAGTCACTGCCACAAAAGTATTTAAAGTTTTATTAGTAAAAAGTGAAGTTATGTTAGTAATGCCGCACTGTGAAACTTTCCGGCACTTTCTATGCCGTAACATCTCCGTGGAAACAAGCAGATGGCAGACTTCCCACGGGAAAAGTTCCATAGTGTGTCTTTAAACTTTTACTTCTTAATAAAGTGGTTTAAAGTGAAGCGCTGCCCTCTAGTGGCGAGGAAGTGTAACAACTGTGTGTGTTTATAAGTGATTAACATGCAAGATACAATTAAAGCACTGCTGTGAAATTTTCCGGCACTTTCTAAGTCATAACATCTCCATGGAAACAAGCAGATTTTAGACTTCCCCTGAGAAAAGTACCACAGTGAATCTTTAAACTTTTACTGCTGAATAAAGCGGAAAAATTCAGAAAAAAAAAAAAAAATGTTGCTGAAATTCTTATAGAAAGTGTAAAATATTAATATTAAAGCTGCACTGTGGAACTTTTTGTTTGGGGGGGGGTCCGTCACCTGCTTGTTTCTATGGAGATGTGTCATCGCTGTGCCTGGAATGTTCCGCAGTGTGACATTAAGCAGCTCTATTTCACATTTATTCAATTACAGGTGGTTTTAAAGCTCAAAAATACCTCCAAATACAACATTTTGACCGTGAGCGGGGTCGCCTCTCCACAGATCTGACCCGTAACTTGGTCTCTGTGAAGATACAAAGGTTAGAAGATAAAAAGTAAAGCTGCACTGTGGAACTCTTGCGGTGAAGGATCTAGGGTTTGGCTTTGAATTTCGTCATTTTAAACATTTTCCACGGAATATTTTTGGTCTTTTTAGTTCAGTTTGGACTACTTGCTCACACAGAGGTCAGATCTGCGGAGAGGCGAGCCCGCTCACAGTCAGAATCCATGTTTTACGAGGTATTTCGAGCAGTAAGAACATTTATAACCAAATAAACGCAAGATTAAATTAGCGCTGCTTAAAAAAGTGGTTTTAAGTTACAAACTGCTGCCCTCTAGTGGCGAGAAAACAGAAAGCACGTCTCTACTGTTTATTATTTTAAAGCTGCGCGATGTCACTTTTTTGCTTGTCGCCATGGAGATTTTATTGGCGTGCTATATCTCTATAATATAGGGGCAAAGTAGAGGTCAGGTCTGTGGAGAAGCGAGTCTCCTTAGTAAAAAAATAATAAGGTTTTAAGTATTTTTTTGGTGTTATAAATGCAAAATGTTTGGTATTTTTTTATATTTAATGACATACTGTGGAACATTACAGGCAAACAATAACATCTCCATGGAGACAAACATGTGACGGAGCCTTAACCAAAAAAGCAGCATAGTGTGGCTTTAATTTTAGAGTAAATTAATCGTTTTTGTTGTTGTTGTTTTTTTAAATTTTATGACCCAATTTTTACTTTACACAATTAATTGATGAAGTAATGTTTATTTATTGGACACTAGGAATTAAACTGTATTTTTTTTTAGCCAAAAATTGTAAAATTGCAACAAAAAATGTGATAAAATAAAATAAATTTCACTTCCTCTTAATTAATATAAGAGGGGGGCCCCATGTGTCTTGCCCAGGGGCCCCCAAAATTCTGTCGACGGGCCTGTAAATAAAAATAAATTCTTGTCAAACATTTGTGGCAATGACTTTAGATAATAAACTGTTAATTGCGGCTCATTTTCGAGCGATTGTGACTAAAACTACATATCCCAGAATGCTTTAGTGCGAAGCTGCTCCCAACTCAAGAAGAAGCCCTTAAACCGCCGACGCCATTTTGTGTTTCTGAACTCTACACGACGAAATCGACTCTTTTTAAAAACAGCAAGGTGCGTTCAAAGACTGAAGCCACTCAAGACGTGGAACAGAAAAATGAAAAATAAAAACATCAGTGTGTCGTTCGTTCATTCGTTTTTTTCAAAATAAAACCAAAAATAAGAAAATGAAAAAATTTAACTATTTTCTTCATTATTTGTCTCCAAAACCAAAATGAAAAAACTGATAACGGACTAATGTAGGACTAAACCAGGACTAAAGCAGAACTAAAACAGGACTGAACCAGGACTAAAACAGGACTAAACCTGGACGAAACCAGGACTAAAACAGGACTAAAGTAGGACTAAAGCAGGACTAAACCAGGACTAAAAGTGGACTAAACCAGGACTGAACCAGGACTAAACTGTTTTCAATCCTGGTCTGGTCCCGGTCTCATTCACGGTCTGGTCTGGTCCCGGTCTCATTCACGGTCTGGTCCCAGTCTCATTCACGGTCTGGCCTGGTCCCGGTCTCGGTCCCGGTCTGGTCCCAATCTTATTCACGGTCTGGTCCCAGTCTCACTCCCAATCTAAGCCCCAGTCTCAGTCCTGGTCCTGTTCCCGGTCTCAGTCCTGGTCTGGTCCTGGTCTCAGTCCCGGCCTCAATCCCGGTCTAAGTCCTGGTCTGATCCCGGCCTCAGTCCCGGTCTCAGTCCTGGTCTGGTTCCGGTCTGGTCCTGGACCTGGTTCAGTCTTCGCAGTTTAAGTCACGTAAACGGAAAATGGTCGTTATCCGTTTTTCCATTTTTCATTAAACACAAAATCAAAAATTGAAAAAAAACGAATCATTATCTGTTTTTTCATTTTGGTTTTGGAGACAAATAATGAAGAAAACTGTTTTTTTTTTTTACATTGAAAAACAAATGAATGAATGACACACGGATTGAAAAAAAAACACATTTCATCGAATCCGCATAAAATAAAAAGAAAAGAAAAGATAAAATGTTTAAAGAGAAAGAAATACAGGCTAGTGTAGAGACGCCATGTTGGAAAAAATATATATATTTAAAATTTTTTGAAGATACTTTGAAAGCAACTTAGTATGTTTTTCAAATTAATTTTAATTTTCCGTAAATAATTCATTTGCGCGATTTCATTCTCCAACGTGGCGTCTCCCGTAGCAACCACAATAACAAAAAAATTATTGATATTAGCAGCACCGTTATAAAAATAAAAAAAGAAAATTAAAAAATAAAAATAAAAACAACATTGATGCCAAATAAAATGTACAAAGCAAAAAATACACATTGTTCAAAATCGTGACCAAAAATTATTAACAAAATGTCACAGTCCTTTGTTCTTTTCTTTTATTTACAAGTTTGTTCGTCACGGCAACGTCCGAAATGAAGTGCGGGTAGTAGTGGTTTTCGACAAAAAAACTAAAAACTGGTACGAAATTGACACTTGGTTTTTGTTTCCGTCGAGTTTTGAAACGCAACAACTTTTTCAGTGCGTAAGAATTCGTTTCAGAATCAAGTAAAAGGACAAAAAGTGGTCCAGGAAATTACCGAGTCTTCAAAACATTCAGGAACATTTGTCTGACGGCATCAAAAACGGCAAAACCAGTCCAAAAAAAAAAAAAAAAAAGTCAACAAATTCACAAAAAATTCTGAAAAAAATGTTAAAATCGACCGAAATTCTTGGATAAAGTGTCAAATTTGAATATTAAAAAACAAAAAAAGGAATAAAAGTTAAAGGTGCTTTGTGTAACTTTTTGGGGGGAGCGTCCGTCATCTGATTGTATCCATGGAGACGCTATGAAATGCCTGAAATGTTCTGCAGTGTTGCATTAAACTCGTAAACAAACTCACGTTTGTTCAATAATGAGACAGATGTTTAATGCCATACTCTGGGATATTTCAGCAACAGCATCTAGGGACTAAACCAGGACTACTAAACCAGGACTAAACCAGGACTAAACCGGGTCTGAATCAGGACTGAATCAGGACTAAACCAGGTCTAAACCAGGACTGAACCAGGTCTAAACCAGAACTACTGAATCAGGACTAAATCAGGACTAAACCAGAACTAAACCAGTACTAAAAAAGGACTGAACCGGGACTAAAACAGGACTAAAACAAGACTAAACCAGGACTAAACCAGGATTAAACCAGAACTAAACCAGGACTAAACCGGGTCTGAATCAGGACTAAACCAGGTCTAAACCAGGACTGAACCAGAACTAAACCAGGACTAAACCAGGACTAAACCAGGTCTAAACCAGGACTGAATCAGGTCTAAACCAGGACTGAATCAGGACAGTACATTTTACGTAATCCTGGATTTTTTAATAATTGCATAAACGAAAGACACGACTAATGCCGTACTGTGAAACATTCCAGACTACGCAATAACATCTCCCTGGAAACGAGCAGACGACGGACCCGACTCCCCATAAAAAGTTCCTCAGTGCGTCTTTACCTTTCAACGCTGAACAAAGTGGTTTTAAGTCGCTCGTTGTGGCTTTAAAAGTAAAACACGGACATTTTTTCACAATAAACTGGGAGAATTTTTTGAGATTTTAAAGCAAAAAAATCGCCATCTTTCGACTTTCCACGCGCTTGAATTCAGTTTGCACCTTTTCTCTTTCGTTCCTCGACGCCATTTCGGTTAAAAAACTTCCCAAAAATCCATCAACGTCCGTCCTTTTACGCTCTCCATCCATCACCTTCTGTAATTATCCGTCGTTTTTCCCGTCACGGCGTTGAGTCCTGAGCCGCGATCCGGACAAGAAGACGTTTAATTCTTCTCCGTGTTATTATTATTTTTATTTTAGAAGAGTTTCGCGGTGTTCAGAAAATGCCCTTTGCGATCTTGAGGCCCTTCTGCTTCATCCGGGGCAGAGTGGAACTGGCCACGGCTTTGGCTCGGACCGGACGCATGGAGCCGCGTTTTTTCAGCACGAAGTCGTAGTTGGCAGTGGAGTTCATGGCGTAAAACACGTTGGCGTTGTCCGGGATGCGCAGCTCTGTGGAAAAAGAAGAGTCAAGTCAGTAAGTTTAGAATAAATATTGGAAGAAAGAATGAAATTTTACTAGTACATACACGTTTATATAATTACTAGGGAAGTGTAACGATAACTGAAATATGGTGATATCGTATCGTCAGAGTCTCACAATAACATCGTGGACCATCACAATACCGTATTTTCCGCACTATATGGCGCTCATTGGTCATTAAATGGTCTATTTTCAAACTTTTTTCACAAATAAACGGCGTGGGACTTTAAATGAAACCCAACAGTGTGATGGGTGAGTGGTTTTGTTTGTTTGTTCGTTCACGGTGACTCTGGGCTTTGTTCAGTTGTGGCGTGTAGGGAGGGTGCTGTCTGGGACCAACGGATTGTCGGCGTGTTCGCAGTGACTCAGTTGTTCAGTCGTGTCTAGAAGCGGCACGTTGCGCTCGTCGCTTTTTCGGTTCGTTCCTCCTGTTCCGTTCCTCGTCGGCGTGGAGTGATGAGTGTGTGTGTGGGTGTGTTTCTCTGTGCGGTCGCTGTCTGCTCCGTGTGTGTTTGCGTGTTTGTAGTTTACTGAAGTCGTGCTGGGACACCTGAGTGGATTCGTGTATGGGGCGCTCTGGATTGTGGCATGTAGTCGTTTTTTGATGGGGTTAGAGGCTTAAGAGTGCGTCTAATAGCCGGAAAAATACAATATATCAAATTACAAGTGTCTTTGCTTAAATTAACAGTTATGGTGCAGCAATTGCTAAAAAACAGACAGAGTGTACTACATAGACCAGGGGTGTCAAACATGCGGCCCGGGGGCCAGATTAAAGGTCTTGGAGGGCCGGATTTTCTACTAAAATATTGTAATTATATTTCCTATTAAAATCTTGTTAATTTTCTGTGGTGTCTCCAGCGTCTCTGTACGTGGCCCCTCCCACCAGAGCAGCACAAATGAAGACTTGTCTCTTTCCAAACGCTCTTAAAGGACGATCGTTTTGACTGTTGACTGTGACACCCTCATCAGAAAAATGTCCAACATGAGAAAAGTGGAGCCGAGTGCAGGATTTTACAACAAAAACTGACTTATTCCTATTTGCAAACAATTTAATGTAAAAAATTTGTGTTGAAATTGAATTTTTCTTAAAGTTTCAGGTTGTTCATAATATTATAATATTTTGTAAAAGAAAGAGTTCATCAATTAAAAAAGATTTCTGTAATAGATTTGTGTTTCTCTGCACAAATATTTGAACTTATTGTTATTTTGGGGTTTATATGACATGAGTTTTCTGATCCGGACACTTTGAGATCAGAGTCGGTTGGATACGGCCCCCGGAACAAAATGACTCTGACACTGCTGATGTAAACCATGATCCTTTGCTCCATTTCAGTGTAAACTACAAGAAGAAATAACAGTTCTAACACTTTTAAGTCCTTGGGTTAAGTCTTGTCAAGGCATTTTAAGAGGAAAAAGTTGCACATTCACAGTTTCATTAACAGCTTCACAAAATATCACAGTAAACATCGTACCGAGAGATTTGGATATTGTTACATCCCTAATCATGAGCCTCCCCACCTCCCCACGATATCGCAATAAACATTGTACGGTGAGGTTCAGACCGTGACGATATCGTATCGTGAGATGTGGTTCAAAAGACTTGAAAAGATAGACCGATAGAAAGACAACAGACGCATCCCACTGAGTGTACAGGCGCCCCCTGCAGGCGGTACTGTGGCTGTACGGGTTTTACGTGTTACTCACTGGAGGATCGTAATAATACATCGTCGAACTCGTTTGTAAATCTTCATTACACTACACGTGCACTTAGGCCTGGCTGTGGTTTTATAGAGATACACAGATAAGTACAACCCCAATGTACAGACGCATGTAAAGTTACCACGAGGGAAATTCTTGAACCGCGACGGCCGTGTCTGAAAGAAGATCCGTCTCTTTTCTGTCATGAATAGATCAGACAAAGACGAGCGAGACCCACTGCACTAAACCCGACGTGAGCAGTGATGGTGTTTATAATGACAGTGTGTTTTGTTGTGTTTTGTTGTATTTTTGTGGCAGTGTTGTGCCGTCTGACCCTTGTCCTCGGCGATCTTCTGCATGAGCTCGTAGTCCTCGCTCTTCTCTCTCTCCAGGTTGTGTTTGATCATGGCTTTTCTGATCACAGCCGGAGTTTTGTCCTGACTCGTCACCTGAGACACAAACAGGAGCAAAAGACATTAAAGAGTGAGTGAATGTCTAAATGAAAGAAATGAATATGGCTTTCTTTTTTTTTTTCCCCTCTAAAAATGTATTGGATTATTTGCAGCAAACAAAAACAAAACATAAACCACGACTACATGGGTCATGACGGGAAGAAACAAACAAAACTCAACGCACAATTCATCAGCTCCAGAGCTCCATATTTTCTAAAACACGACACTCTATCGTCTTTTTACAAGGTTTCTGCAGTGTTGAACTGTTTAAAATCATTGCTCCGAATATTTTACAAACCAAAATCTCTACCAGAAATTTCTTTCTTCCTCGTGCTTTTTTCCCCCCCCGTTTATGGACGTACAAACTAATAATAATGTTAATGAAGGACAAAAGTTTATCGTTTATGATCGTGCGAAACAAGCAGCAATGAGAATGAATATGGCTTTCATTTAATTAACATCAACAAAAAGTCCATGTGATTCCATAAACGATTTTCCAAAACATTTCCAGTGTTTACAAAACCAGAGCCAAAGTTCTCAAATTCCTCTTAAAAAGGACCAAAGGTTAAAACGTTTTTGGCTAAATCTCACATGACAGCTTTGATTTCATTTCAGTTTGCTTTTCATCCAAACTTTTTGTAGTTCTCTTCGCGTGTCCTCATCAGTTTAAGAAGCAAAATGGGCGATAAAAAGGCAATTAAAACCACAAACTGCCTCACGGACGATACAAACCTTCCTCTCATGATTTAAATATGAAACATTTTACCACTTTGTTCTGTTTTTATTTGTCTTTGTTTACAAAGTTTGGACTGAATTTGGTTGTTTTTGGTTACTTCTTTGTTGTAATTGTTGCAGAATGTGCCTATCTTACTAGTATTTAAAGAGCCATTAAACACCAAAATCACTTTTTTCTACTGATTCTCTGAGTAAACATGTGTAAAATAGAAGTGTGTCTCTGTCCCTGGCCTTATTTTGGCATTTTATTTACGTTTATATTTGTAAAAAATCTGACTTTTGAGTCAAAGTTGTGTCTGTATCGGCGTCTTTAGGATCAACTACGGTCAGGGCATTTAAATTTTCGTGTTGGACTAACAGCGCAGATGAGTCAGACGCAGGTTATTATGTGACGAGCACAGACACCGGCGTCTACGGGTGGGACTTGAGTCCCTCTCAGCCCCACCCCGACCTGACACCGCCGCCATGTCCCACCGTGTCTGGAGAAAAGGGAAACGGCATGACTCCGCTCTGTTTCAAAGTCTGGAGCGCACCGGTTTGCGCCATTTTGGATTGTTGTGGCCGTCGGTCGGCTGTCAATCATGGCTCCAGAGCCCGCCCCACACCTGCTCCCCTCAACCCGCCAGGCACAGATTTTTCAGATTTGGCTTAGGGGCGGAGTAAAGCTTCAGGAGGGGGTTTAATTAGCCTGATTCATCGGCTGGTTTCACTTTGCGGAAACCGTCTGACCTCACAGCATTAGGATTTGTTCGATCAAACAGAAGGCGGGTACTTTTTTTTATTTACCCAATCGCTGTTATTTGGTCGTGATGTATGTAGAAGTATGTAGAAGCAGGACAATAACGTCTTTCTCCTTGATAAAATTCACCAAACGTTCTCTTTGTTTTGGCTTTAAATCCTCGTTCTCAGGAATTGTTGCCAACACAGAATGTCTATCTCTTCTCTGATTGGCTGGTGCCCAAACTCGCGCTTCAGGGGTTCTTGTAAACCATCTAGTGTACTCTGATTCCTGACCGAGCCGCTGGAGAGAAATGAAATTGAGTGGAGGCACGAGGTGGTGTCGTGTGTGTGTTAGTTGTGTGAGTGTAGATCAGTGTGTTGTGTATCACCAGAAAAACAAGAAATGGAAATTATTTTTGTTCCAATTAGAATTTTAACGGCTACACTGAAAGAGAAAGCAACTGTTAGAATTAGTGATTATCTGGAAAACTATTAATATTTTACTACACAAATGCATAGAATTATAAATAGATAATAATTTTTCTGAAATTTTGAGACACTCCTGTCGCTCTAGCTCGATCCTTCGCGGAGTTATGACCAAAAAGGCATATTTGACCTTGACCGGTTTCATCCTGTAACATCCAGTTATGTGTGTGCCAACTTGAGTGATGATTGGGTGAATATTTTAGGCCGCAAATGGTTCAGAAATTGCCGAAATTGCCTGTCCCTTTATAATGCCGTGACCTTTCAATTGACCCATGTGACCTCAAATAACCTCGGATCATCACCAAACTTTTTTTTTTGCGGCATCGGGCACAGGGGGCTTGACCCACGTACCAAATTTGGTGACAATCGGTCCATAAATAGCGGAATTATCGCAGGTGGACACACACACAGACACACGGGGTGAATACAAAACCATAAAAAATACAAAAATACAAAAATCCATGAGCGTGTTGTGCTGCTTCGCGTGTCCTCACCAGGATGCTCTTGTACATGTTCCCGTTCTCCACGTCGAGGCTGACGCGGATGATGCAGCAGTCGTCCACCTGCTGGTTGTACAGGGGCAGGGACAGGGTGGAGTAGTTGGAGACGGCGGAGACGGAGCGTTTGTGATGGGAGCGGGAGGACAGCGGGGTGGAGCAGGACGCCGACGAGGACGAGGCCGAAGAGGAGCCAGAGCCGGAGCCCATCCCCGACGTGTCCAGAGACGAGAGAGACGTGCACTCCCAGAACTGTCACACAGACGTACAAGTAGAAGTTATACTCGCACACAATGACACAGTAAGACTTTTGTTTATAAGCAGTGTTGGGAAGGTGACTTTTAAAATGTAATCCCCTACAGATTACAGATTACACACCCCAAAATGTAGCTTGTAACGTAATCCATTAAATTACTTAAAGTGAGTAATGTAATCTGAATACTTTGGATTACTTGGTTTGCTGTAGAGAAGCAAAGACGAGGAAATTGTAAAATAAGAAGTTTTGTCTGATAAAAGAAAATAAAAAGCCCAGACTTTACTGAACCAAATGAAAAATATTATTGGAGGAGACACGTCCACACAGCAGGATTTAGTCCTGTTAAATCCTGGTTCAGTCCTGTTTCAGTCCTGTTTCAGTCCTGGTTCAGTCCTGGTTTAGTCCTGGTTTAGTCCTGGTTTAGTCCTGGTTTAGACCTGGTTTAGTCCTGGTTTAGACCTGGTTTAGTCCTGGTTCAGTCCTGTTTTAGTCCTGGATTTAGTCCTGGGTTTAGACCTGGGTTTAGACCTGGTTTAGTTTCCAGCAATGAGTGGAATTACTGAAAAAAAAAAAAAAAAAAAAAAGGGATATCGCCCAAAATGTGAAAACAGGAAAATCCTACTGTGTAATCCATTTATTTCATCAAAGTAACTCTAATTACCACTCACTCAAACAGTAACTATAACTGAATACAGTTACTCATAATTTGTACTCTGATTACATAACTCCGGTAAATGTAATCTGTTACTCCACAACACTGATTATAAGACAGAGTGAGCAGACGCTTTTATTTTCCTGGGACACTCCCAGTTTTGAGTCTGTGTCCCCTGTCCCAACAGATTTATACAAAACCACGGATTTGGACCAGTTTTATACAAGAAATGTCCCAGGTGTCGCTATTTTTGACCAATTTGATCCCTGCCAACTATGAAAAGTGGAATAAATTTGTCATTTGTTTAGGTAAAATACAGAAAAGCTGCTTAAAAAACAACCAAAACACAAAGAAAGTACAAGTGGAAATGTGCTCTTGTGCTACAAACTGACACAATGCATCTCTCCTGTTGAGGTAAATGTATAATATCTCATAAATAAACTAATAATAATAAATCTATTGACTCATGTTCGTCATGAATGGGCCAAGTGCAGAACGGTTTTCCTTCATTTCTCACTCGTTTCATACAGTACAGAATAGTTTAGTCCAGTGTAAGTGTTTCTTTTACCGTGGAGGTGGTGTCAGCGGCCGGAGCGTCTCTGCTCAGAGCCGACACAGACAACTTCACTGACGGAGTGGACGTCTGAAAAACAAACACACCAAAAAGATTTACTCTGGACTCTTATTATATCTATAAATATCTATAAATATCTATAAATATGACTTTGGACATGATCACAGGAAAGTCGTGAGTCTGATTCATTCTCTGTGACTCTGTTTAAAAACAAGGAAACTAACGCTACAATGAAATATTATTTTTAGTGGTTTTACTAAATACATTTTGAACTAAATAAAGGCTGAATGTGGTGACTGAAGTCTTCTAGAGCAAGGGTCTCCAGCCTGTAGCTCATTAGCTGCCAGCAGCTCTACACCCACTTTCAAGTAGTTCACAAACGGATTTTCTGTGGCCATACTGGAATATCAAAGCCTGATCCCGTCAGATCTCAGAAGTTCAGAGGTCGGGTCTGGTCAGTACTTGGATGGAGACACTGGGAAAATCAGGAGCCACAGGAGACGCCAGTCTTAAAAAACCTGTCCTTGTGTCCTTAAGTAAGACACTTCACCCACATTCCCTCGTATGTAAGTGGTGTGTGTGAGTGATGGTGGTGGTCGGAGGGGCCGATGGTGCAGATTGACAGCCTCACTTCCATCAGTCTGCCCCAGGGCAGCTGTGGCTACAATAGTAGTTTATCACCACTGAGTGTGGAGTGAATGAATAATGCTCTATAAAGTGTCTTTGAGTGTCCAGAAAAGCTCTACATAAAACTGATGCATTATTATTTTTGAATTACACTTATTGTGGTGAATAAGTAAAATTCGATCAATTAAATGCCTCTTACTGTTGTAAATGTTTCATTTTGATGCCTGACTTGCAGGCGCCTGACTTGTGCACTCATAAACATAGGGATAATTAATATTTTATAGACAACTGTGTCCCATCTAAGGCTCGCTGTAGCTCTTACATTTACTCCACTTCTTCCGACAACTAAAATCAGCAGCCAGATGGAATTTTTGTTTGGTAAAGTTTAGCTCCATGGAGATAAAAGGTTGGAGATCCACGTTCTAGACAGACTGACATTTTGAGTCAACAATGCCCCTGTCTTTGTTTTTGTTTTTGACATGTGCTTTGGAGTCTACACAATTTTTTGAAATTACTCTTGAGGAAGTTAAAAGAGAAGCTAAAAGTACAAGTACTCCAACATGCATGAAAAACATGACAAACTCCATGACGTAAGTCCAGTCTTTTACCCTGATGAAGGATGAAGGGCCGAAACGTGTTGACGTGATTTCAACTTTATCTACCATGTGGTATTAAAGGCTTTTAATTATTTTGTACTTTGTGAGTGCCTCAGGTTTTTGTACTTTGTATTTGAGACTGGTCCCTACACTGAAGAGCAGCCAAAAGACAATTCTGCACAATGTCTGTATATCCAAGTAGTACTCCTGCCCTCCAAAGTACAGTGAGTGTATATGAGCACCTTGCGTTCGTGGTGTCCCTCTGGAGAGTCTGATAAGAAGCTGGGGTTGACGTCCTCCAGGTCGGACCCACTGGAGCTCACTGAGGTGACGGAGAGGGCGTCCCCGCTGTCGCCCCCGCTCTGGTACGGCCGGTACTGCGCCTGGTCAAAGGATTTGGAGTGGGACGAGGCACTGCTGCAGCCGGCCTCTGTCAGCTGACGACTGCAGGAGACACAAGAAGAGAACATCACAGGAACGTGAGTGTGAGTCTGATACATTTGACATTTTCTGTAAATATACAAGGAACGTCTTTCCTTTTCTTTTCTTTCTTTTTTATATGATTCAAATAGTTTTAGTTGTGTTTAGTTGTGTGACGACAGTGGCTCAGTGATTAGAGCGAGAGTGGAGAGTGGAGGATTGAGTCCCTCTCAGACCAAGTTCTCTCATTGTGTTCTTAGGCAAGGCACTTGCTTGTATTGCCTGATATGAAAGTGGTGTGTGTGTGTGAATTATTGGTGGTGGTCAAAAGGGTTGATGGTGCAGACTGGCAGCCTCACTTCTGTCAGTCTGTCCCAGTTCAGCTGTGGCTACAAGAGATTCCCACCACCCAGTAGACTGAGTGAATAATGACAATAATCTGAGGTGCTTTGATGAGCCTGTAAAGGCAATATTATTTATTATGTTTATTTGTGCTAAATTCAAACCTCAGTCTAAATATTAGAAAAAATGTAAAGTGGCAAATGGTCACATTTTTATAGAAGTGCTTTTCCACCTTGAAGGAACTCAAAGCACTTCACATTAACAAACCACACACACACACACACACACACACACAGACACAGTGTGTATGGGTTAAGTGTTTTGCCCAAGAACACAACAACATAATTCATCTGTGTGCCAAGAGCAGGATTTGAATTGCCAATGTTCAGATCAGTGGACAAACTCTCTTCTAAATGAGCTGCTGTCGCCCCAGACTATTGTGGTAATCAGATTATAATTATTTATTCAGAGTTAAAATGCGGTGAATCATTTTAGGATGGAAACTGTCCTGCAACATCAAAAAATCAATTCATGAAACTTTATTATTATTATTATTATTATTTTTTTTTTTTAAAATGAGTCAATAATAATTTAAAATCATGATTCATCGGATTTGATGTTGCAGCACTAACATTATATTTATATTACAAAGATGAGAAAGTACCAAGCCTCCAAAAAAAAGTTTGAGTAAAACTCACTCGCTCCAGCGCTTCATGATCCCTCCGTTCTTTTTGGCCCTCAGCGTGTTACTGGCCGATTCAGACAAAGGTTCGATCTCACACGACAGGTTATAACTGACAGAAACAAGAGAGAAAAACAGATTTAAATAAAACTGTAAAATAGTAAAGTGAAAGGCACAGGATGTGAGTCAGTGTTGGTATTTCATCTGCATGATTCCACTGAAATAAACTATTCTTCATGAACAGTTTGTAAAACAGTTTCATGTCGTATTGTGTAAGATTAAAGCCAAAGGAAAAATATTTCCATGGAAACAAGCAGGAGGAGCCTCTCCTCCAGGCCAAAGCCAAACAGGTTTGTGGACACATTTTTCTAGTGCAATAAACCACAGTTTTAGTTTATGTTTTGGTTAAAAATGTAAACTTTAACTCACTGGATCAAAATGTTGGAACACAAACTAGTAGCAATCAATGCATTACAATTACAACCCACACTGCCAGCTCAGTCCCTGTCATCTTGGCCTACACCATCAGAGGTATAATACTCCCTACAACAGAAGCATAGCAACTAGGGGTGTACAAAAATATTGAAATATTGATATATCATATCGCTTAATTTGGTGATACATTATCAATATCATGGGCTGCTGTATTGATATATCGGCAAGAGTAATTTGTGGTATATTTTACTAAATTATTTTGTGTAAGAGCTACAATTTTGTTGACATTTTCACAGTTTTGATGAGTAAAGCGTTTGTTTTTCATATTAACTCTGCACAAACTCAGTGGACTTAATAGACTTTAACTATCACAGCGACGATTTAGATTTTGTTTTTCACAAAACTGTATCAGTTCAAATTAAAATATATCATATGGAATCATACTGAATCAAAATGTACTGTGTCAAAAAACATATCATATCGTGGCCTATGTATCGAGGTTTGTATCGTATCGTATCGCCCTAATAGCCACACGGACTCTTGAAGTGCCCATGTCTCTGCGCTGAGTCTGTACTGTTGTAAATAAACGTCTTTGTTGGAACTCGAGCCTCACGTCTCGTCTCTTCGGTTCTCAGACGACTTCTATTTACTCTCCAACAGTGAGTTATCCTCTTGCCTGAGTTCTGCCCAGTGCCGTAAAATAACCCTAATCGTAGTAACGTTGAGAGTACAGTGACCAGAATTTCAAAATAAAAAAATTGTGACACTCTCGGTTTCTGGTGATAATAATAAAATTGTAAAACGAATGTGTAATTAAGAAGAATTGTTCTGCACTTGGCACTAATATGAGTCAGTATACCGTATTTTTCGGACTATAAGTGGCAATTTTTTTCATGATTTGGGTGTTTCCTGCGACTTGTATATTAAAATTTTCAGACTCTAGGTGTGTGTACCAGTTTTCCGCGTATGTCTCCTGCAGAAAAAGCCGCTGTCTTATATATGTTTTTTCTTCTTCATTATGCACTTTTTGGCGGTGCAACTTAAACTCACTTTTTCTTTAGGTTTTGGTCATTTTTAAGCAGCTTTTCTATATTTTACCTCAACAAATGTCACTGTATGCCTCTCTTTACTGTTGGCAGGGAACAAATTGGTCTAAAATAGGGACAATTTGTTGTATAAAACTGGGACAAATCAGTGGTTTTGTATAAATCTGCTGGGACAGGGGACACCGGGGTCAAAACTGGGAGTGTCCCGGGTAAACAGAAACGTCTGGTCACCTTTAGTTGAGTGTTTGTTTACCTCTCTGCCTCGGTGAGCTTCTCCACTCCCCCGAACCACTCTCTGAAGTGGCTGTCCTGAGTGAAGCTGTAGTTATTGGAGGCCAACTGCAGCAGTTTGATCTGAGCGATCACCTCGAACTCCTGAAAACAACAGAGCAGGTTTAAGATACTATACAATTACTGCACTCTGGAGACAAAGTACACAATTGTTCTACTGGCTGGACTCACATAAAAAGCAACAACTTAGACTGAATTTGCAGTTCTTGCTGATTTAGACTAGTTTATAGTCAGTATTTCTGTAATTACTGGATCTTATCTGCATGAAAATAAAACAATTCACTAGATCCAAAGCAAATTATTAAGCAAAATCCACTTTTTAGAGATTTTAATCATAATATAGATCTCCTCACTAGATGGTGCCACAAAATATCATGAGACAAAGATCGTGCACACAAAAGGAAAATGATTTTATGAGATTTTTTCCCCATGTTTTTGATTTTAATTGGACAAAAAAGAGTTAGGGTTAATTCTCTCACAGTTCCAAAAAGCAGTGCTAGAATGAAAACAAAAATATGAAATCAAATAAAAGTTTTGTTGAGGCCAAAATTGGAAACTGAAACATGAAATTTACATATTAGGAATCATGTTAAAATAAAATAGAAGAGAATAAAATAGAATCTTGTCTTGTCTTGTTGAAATTGCGTCTCGTCCCGGACCCGGCTCCTCATCATTTACTCACCCGCAGTTGTATTTGGAGTGACTTGTGCATGTTTGAATCACCAGTTGTTAGTTATTTTCAACCTGTAGTTTTATCATGCAGAACTCAGTGGACCCGTTTCTTCTATTACATTGTTTTACATTCTTTACGGACGATTAGTCGCTCTGGGTTATAAGACGCTCTGTCATTAAATGGTCTATTTTCGAACTTTTTTCACAAATAAACCGCACCGGACTTTAAAGGAAACACAACAGTGTGATGTGTGAGTGGTTTTGTTTGTTTGTTCGTTCACGGTGACTCTGGGCTTTGTTCAGTTGTGGCGTGTAGGGAGGGTGTGTCTGGGACCAACAGATTGTCGGCGTGTTCGCAGTGACTCAGTTGTTCAGTCGTGTCTAGAAGTGGCACATTGCGCTCGCTTTTTCGGTTCGTTCCTCCGTTCCGTTCCTCGTCGGCGTGGAGTGATGAGTGTGTGTGTGTGTTTCTCTGTGCGGTCGCTGTCTGCTCCGTGTGTGTTTGTGTGTTTGTAGTTTACTGAAGTCGTGCTGGGACACCTGAGTGGATTCGTGTACGGGGCGCTCTGGATTGCAGCGCGCGGTCATTTTTTGATGCGGTTGGAGGCTTAAGAGCGCGTCTAATCGCCTGGAAAATACAGTCAATATTTCAACTGAAACTGTCCAAATAACAACAGAATGATCCACGAGGGTCACACAGAAAACTGTATAGCATGTGTCTTCTTGTCTAAATTGTAATTCACAGATAAAAAGTTGTATTTCAATAACAATATTACAACAATACAGTAGTAGCAAATTTGAAAAAAAAAAAAGGATCAAGTTCAACATTTGTGTGTTTTTTGGGAGATTTGATGTAAGATGTAATGTAATGTAGATGGAATATTTGCTCTTTGAGAATAGGACAGATTACGACGCGTCAGATTGGCGTGGAGCTGTTTGTAGTTTCTTCCGTGCGCTAGTTTACAAAGAAAATCAACAGAAGCCCGTCACTCGCAAATCCAAAGAGATGTGGATGAAAGTCCGAAGCCAGGACTGGTGGAGCCAGACACAACGAGCATGTGCAGAACAACCGGGATTATTTTTAAGAAGAATAGACGTTTACATGATCCAGGAATAAATTAATTTGGCTTTAAAATCAGAATAATCCACCCATTTACTTCAGAATTAAGTTTAATTCTGTATAATCATTAATCATTAGGAATTAAGTGTTTACATGGTCTTTTTAAAGCAACATTTTTATTCAGAATTAAATTATTTTTGTTCGGAATTAAAGCTCTCATGTAAACGTAGCAATGGTAGCATTATTTTTTGGTCTAACAGCTTCTCAGCAAATGTTACTTGCCAGCACTTAACCCTTTTTCGTCCAATCCAAATGTGAAAACTTTGAAAAACAATCTCACACAAGATCGTTTTTCTCTTGTGTGCACGATCTTGTGGTACATGGTGGTAGATCTTGTCCACCCTACTAAACTGTATTATTTACTTGATTCAATACAGACCTTTCGCCTCTTTTCGAAGTTGATGAGTCCGTTCTAAAAAAAAGACAACAATATAACTTATATTGACACATTTTTTTCCCATTTAAATAAAAATACGTTGGGTTTTTTTTGTTCGTTTTGTATGTAGTCTGCTCCTGACCTCTGTGTAGTCCTTCATGGCAGTGTCCATCATGACGAGATCGGTCAGAAACGTGCCCAGATACGGAATGGTCCCCTGCATCACGCCCTGGACACAAGACAAGACGAGCGTAAACAAACTGAGCAGCTTCCACTTCTGCTCCACCAGGGGGAGCCAGAGAGCTTGTAGATAAAGAGATTTCTCCGTGAAGGCCGTTCGTTATCAGGCTACAGTTCAGTCTCAGAACGATAAAGGGTCATACCAGGTCTCTCTGCTGCTGGTGCCTCCTCTGGGCTCGTTTGGGGTTGATCTCCAGAGTGGCGAATTTAGACGTGCCCTCCTAAAAAAACAGAAGAAAACAAAACAAATCAGGATTGTAAAGGTCTTATAGTAAACAAAATTGACTCTTGTGAGCTTTAAGACATGCTATAATGTTGTTACCTCCTCAAAAACTAAAAGAAAAAAGCTACGAATCTGCGTCTCCCTAAAGAAGAATTTTTGACTTTTATTTTTATTGTATTTAATTTTGAATATTGAGAGTGAGAACAATCAGTGTGTCGTTCGTTTATTTGTTTTTCAAAATAAAACCAAAAATAAGAAAATTAAAAAAACAATGATTATTTGTCTCCAAAACCAAAATGAAAAAACAGATAATGATTTGTTTTTTTCAGTTTTTGAATTTTGTGTTTAAATGAAAAATGGAAAAAAACGGAACCAGGACTGAACCAGGACTGAACCAGGACTGAACCAGGACTGAACCAGGATGAAAACAGGACTGAACTGGTCTCAGTCCTGGTCCTGGTCCCGGTCTCAGTCTGGACCACCTGACAGTCTTTGCGTGCACACATCCAGGTCTGTGCCTGACACTCCTGGTTCAGTCCTGGTTCAGTCCTGGTTCAGTCCTGGTCCAGTTCTGGTTTAGTGCTTGGTGCTGTGTACTGTCTTTAATCCTAGTTCAGTCCTGGTTCTGTCCTGGTTTAGTCCTGGTTCATTCCGGTTTTAGTCCTAGTTTAGTCCTAGTTTAGTCCTGGTTCAGTCTTGATTTAATCTTGGTTCAGTCCTGGTTTAGTCCTGGTTCAGTCTTGATTTAATCTTGGTTCAGTCCTGGTTTAGTCCTGGTTCAGTCTTGATTTAATCTTGGTTCAGTCCCGGTTTAGTCCTGGTTCAGTCCTGTTTTAGTCCTGGTTTAGTCCTGGTTCAGTCTTGATTTAATCTTGGTTCAGTCCTGTTTTAGTCCTAGTTTAGTCCTGGTTCAGTCCTGTTTTAGTCCTAGTTTAGTCCTAGTTTAGTCCTGGTTCAGTCTTGATTTAATCTTGGTTCAGTCCTGTTTTAGTCCTAGTTTAGTCCTGGTTTAGTCTTGATTTAATCTCGGTTCAGTCCTGTTTTAATCCCGGTTCAGTCCTTTTTTCGACCAACAAAAACAGGATAAACGAGTATCTAAAACATGTTCATAGGGAGGTGAGCGTTGGTGATTGAAGCAGCTCGGTGATGTCAGAGTCGGGGGAGTAGTTTTATCATCGGTGTGGAAGAGTCCGAGGAGAGTGTCAGGAGCAGATACAGACCAACCGAAGACGCCCTCCAACCCAAAAACCAAACTACGGCCTTATCTGCTCCGGCCCACACCAGGACTCTCCCCACGCGTCACGGAATCCCCACGAACTCTCCAATCTGATAAACCAACTATCACAGTCACGAGCTCCACTGACGTCATGTAAGGTTTTTCACTCGGTGGAGCTGTCGCAATCACAAAAACTGAAAATCTGCACAAAATCTAAAATCTATACAAAAATACTAAAATAAAATACTATAAATAAAAAATAAAATAAAATAAAATAAATAAATAAGTAAATAATAATAATAATAATAATAATAATAATAAATACATAAATAAAATAATAAAATAAATAAAAATACTAAAATCTATACAAAAGCGGAAAATATATACAAGATCTAAAATCTATACAAAAATACAAAAATAAAATACTATAAATTAAAAATAAATAAAATAATAAAATAAAAATTAAATTAAAATAAAAAAAATTTAATAATAAATACATAAATAAAATAAAATAAATAAAAATACAAAAATCTATACAAAATCTAAAATCTATACAAAAATACAAAAATAAAATACTATAAATAAAAAATAAATAAATAAGTAAATACAAAAAATAATAAATACATAAATAAAATAAAATACATAAAATAAAATAAATAAAATAATAAAATAAATAAAATAAAAATACTAAAATCTATACAAAAGCGGAAAATCTACGGAAAATCAAAAGTTTGGACTCTTTCGCTCGTCGATATGTTTAATACTTTGTACTTTTGATAAACATACAGAAGAACTCAAAGCGTTTAAAAAGTATGACTGATTGTGTAGATGTCTGGTTAAGGACACTTTTTTTGTTGTCTGCCTCCTACTTTGACCACTTTGGCCAGCTTCCCCACAATTTTAAGTACTCGTTTTATTATTCATGTTTGGGTATCAATAGTTAAAATGTTTTATGAAGACTCACCTTCACCAGCAGCTCTCGACTCAGGGAGTAGTTATTATCGTCTGAGAAGATTTCGGACAGCTCACGGAACATTCGGAAACTCTCCCTGTTGATAGAAAAAAACTAACTTAGATCAAAAGGCTCATATTACACTATTTTATGATCTATGTTTTATAATATAGTTTCCTCGTCACAAACAGACCTTGAGTTGTGTTTTTGTTTCATTCACACATGATTAATTCAATGTCTTTGTGGACAGGGTGAAACTCAGCCTGGTCAAAGAGTTTTAATACTTGGGACTGACGTTGGAGTTGATATTGACGTTTAAGAAACACGTTGAGCGCCAAACATAAACTGTTCATTTTAACTAAGTGAATTTTAGACAAGTAAGAGCTTTTATGACTCGATATGCAGCACGAATGTTTTTACACTTCATGATTCTGTCTCATATTAGATCAGGAGTGTCAAACTAATTTTGGTCCGGGGGCCATATCCAAACTACTTTGATCACAAAGTGTCCGGATCAGAAAACTCATGTCATATAAACCCCAAAATAACAATAAGTTCAAATATTTGTCCAGAGAAACACAAATCTATTACAGAAATCTTTTTTAATTGATGAACTCTTTCTTTTACAAAATATTATGAACAACCTGAAACTAAAAAAAAAAAAATGCAATTTCAACACAAAGTTTTAACATTAACTTGTATGTAAACAGGAATAAGTCAATTTTTTGTTGTAAAATTCTGCACTCGGCTCCACTTTTCTCATGTTGGACATTTTTCTGATGAGGGTGTCACGGTCAACAGTCAAAACGATCGTCCTTTAAGAGCGTTTGGAAAGAGACAAGTCTTCATTTGTGCTGCTCTGGTGGGAGGGGCCACGTACAGAGACGCTGGAGACGCTGCTGTGATAAACACCACAGACAATTAACAAGATTTTAATAGAAAATATAATTAAAATATTTTAGTAGAAAATCAGCCGAGGGCCAGATTAAAGGTCTTGGAGGGCCGGATCTGGCCCCCGGGCCGTATGTTTGACACCTGTGTATTAGAGGATTGCAGAACCACACGGTCACTTCGCTGCTGCACAAAACTCACACCAGCTTTTTAAAAAGCCGTAAAAATATTGGACAAGAAACCGTTCTCATTTCACCACTGCACTACGCTCGCTGCACCGACGCTCCACATTTGGATGAAGTGTGTCTCAGTCAGAGGCACTAAATTTTTGAACAGTCTGCCAGTACCAATAAGAGAAACTCCAACACTGGACACTTTCAAATACCACTTAAAACAGCGGCTAAAGGAAAATCAGACTTGTGGACAGTTTTAGTTTATATCTTTCACTTGTTTTTGTTGTTTTTTTCTTTGTTAAATTTGTGGTGTTACCTGCTGAGTGATGACAGACTTAAATGAGCATTTTTACTATAATCTGTCATATTTACACTGCAGTGTTGTAGATGTTCATTAATATGCACTGTCCCTATTCAATAAAGAAATAAAGAAATATGTAAATAAATAAATAAATAAACCCTACAGATTTAGGCTGAGTTCTTCTCTCAAACTGATCATTTCAACCCTGGAGTGAAAATCTCTACTTAATTTTAAGTAAAATGAGACGCTTCATGACATCACAAGGTGGAACAGAGCATTTTGAGCTTTGGAGATGTAGACAGACTGATAATAAAGGGCTGCTCAAACATGTGAATGAAACAAAACACAACTCGACTTGGTGACGTAATGACATTATAACACGACTTAAAGTTCACAAGAGTCAATTTAGTGTAACATACGACTTTTAAACTTGGGATACTTTAGAAATTTGTAAAGTATTTGTGTATTTTGTGTTTTTGAACGCACCGTGAAACCTCATCCCAGGTCCTCTTGAGTCGGTGGATGGAGTTACACTGAAGCGCTGATAAAATGGCTCTTAACGACGAGAAGTTTTTCAAAATCCGACACTCCTGAAAACACCACAGTCAGAATAAGAACAAAACATTTCCTTCACTATCATTTTTGCCACGTTTCATATTTGCTGCGTACCCGTGCCACGTCGATCCAGCGCTCGAGCAGCCGCGCCCGCTGCGTGTGCTTGAGGCTGGGGTTGCTCAGGCAGGTGGTGATCACACAGTTGGTGACGGAGTTGAACTGAGCCACGGTCGCTCGGATGGTCGGAGCCAAGTGCTCTTTGCCCTTTTTGTCCCTCTGAGACCAGATCCCACCCAGACAGTGGTACGGCACCACCTTCTTAAACAGGTCCTGAAGAAGAGAGAGAGAAGAGACGTGTAAAACATTTGTGGAGTATTTTAACACTACTTTTGTGCTTTCTGTGTCTGGGAAATTATTCATTTTTTAATTAATCTATTTATAAACAACTTAAACACAGTAATGATTCTTTTTGCTTCTCCTGGTCCCATTTTTCTGTTGCATCTGGGCCCGGTCCAGCAGAAGTAAACAGCAAGGCCAAAAATTCAAGTTAATGCATCTGATATAAAAATGTATTGAACAGATACATATGTACTCTAGTTTATGAAACTGTTGACCTTTTTTCTGTACCATTTTTGGTTCTAAAGTTTCCATCCGTTTTAAACAGACCATGTATGAAACATGGAACAAAAATTATTTCCCAAATTTCAAAGACCTGAAAATCATGTAAATAAATGGATGTATTTCATCATATCTTGTGTTATTCCATCTTTGAACTGTTGATGAAGGGGCAGGATTTTTCAAAAAATCTAAAAAAAATTATTTACAATGATAAAAATTTGCTTGGAAGGACTGACATATTTTGAAGTAATATTAAAGTATTCGGAAGAAAAAAGCGACAAATGATGTAAAATCATGCACCTTCTACTTGTTTGTACAATTTTCCCTCCGTTACTTTTCCCTCCGTTACCATGACCTTTCTTAATAAAAAACCTAATTCCTAAACCTAATCTTGTTCCATATGGTAGAAAACTATATGAAGCAAATATTCAAACCAGTTTGTTAAGGATATGTAAGTGAGAACCAAGAGTTATCACTGTTTGGATTTATTGACCAAAAAGTGCTGCATATTTCATTCCCTCCGTTACCGACATGAGTTTTTAAAATTTTTGTCTTGAACTTGAAAGAATATCACAGGTTTAACTTGACCCTGTTGGAGTGTAACTCTTTCCTACATTCTGATACTTTACTTATTTCAATAGTTCCTCTAGTTTCTGAATAAGAGACATTTGAATGTCAAAAATCTGACCCTGTTTCCCTCCGTTAACACTTGACCGGACCCAAATGTTACCATACATTAGTAAACATTTGCATGAGAGCTTTATTTAATTCTGAATAAAAATAGTTTAAAATGAATGTTTTTGTATTTGTGTCTCACCGCGTCCATGAGAGTGAACTGTTCCGCCACCATAATGGGGTCAAAGGACAGGAAACTAAAAGCCGGGAGTTCATCTTCAAACCCGCTCTCCTCCTGCGTGGCAAACGGACAGCCGATGTGCTCCCCTGGAAACACAAACACAAACACACCCTCAAAATTTAAATCATTAAAATCTACTAAAACCTCCTTTTAAATGAACGAAACACACCAGAACATGAGCTCTTGGTCTTTAAAGTTACAGATTTGAAACAGGAAAATACGTAAACATTTTAACTTTGGGAGAATCAGTCAGAAGTGTTTTAGACCTGGTTTAGTCCTGGGTAAAATTTGGTTTAGTCTTGGGTTAGACCTGGTTTAGTTCAGGGTTAATATATAGTATAAGTGAGAACCATTAGATGTGGTTTAGTCCTGGTTTGAGTCCTAGTTGAGTCCTGGTTCAGTCCTGGTTCAGTCCTGGTTTAGTCCTGGTTCAGTGCTGGGTGTGTGTGCTGTGTACCATCAGAGTCTGGTTCAGTCCTGGTTTAGTCCTGGTTTAGTCCTGGTTTAGTCCCGGTCCGGTGCTGGTTTAGTCTTGGTTCAGTCCTGGTTTAGACCTGGTTCAGTCCTGGTTTAGTCCTGGTTTAGACCTGGTTTAGTCCTGGTTTAGACCTGGTTCAGTCCTGGTTTAGTCGTGGTTTAGTCCTGGTTAGTCCTGGTTTAGACCTGGTTCAGTCCTGGTTTAGTCCTGGTTTAGTCCTGGTTTAGTCCTGGTTTTCTGGTTCAGTCCTGGTTTAGTCTGGTTTAGTCCTGGTTTAGTCCTGGTTCAGTCCTGGTTTAGTCGTGGTTTAGTCTGGTTTAGACCTGGTTTTAGTCCTGTTAGACCTTTAGTCCTGGTTTTAGTCTGGTTCAGTCCTGGTTTAAACCTGGTGTTTAGTACTGGTTTAGACCTGGTTTAGTCCTGGTTTAGTCCTGGTTCAGTCCTGGTTCAGTCCTGGTTCAGTCCGGTCCGGTGCTGGTTTAGTCCTGGCCTAGTCCCGGTCCGGTGCTGGGTGTGTGTGCTGTGTACAGTCTTTAGTCCTGGTTCAGTCCTGGTTCAGTCCTGGTTCAGTCCCGGTCCGGTGCTGGTTCAGTCCTGGTTCAGTCCTGGTTCAGTCCTGGTTCAGTCCTGGTTCAGTCCTGGTTCAGTCCCGGTCCGGTGCTGGGCGTGTGTGCTGTGTACAGTCTTTAGTCCTGGTTCAGTCCTGGTTCAGTCCCGGTCCGGTGCTGGGTGTGTGTGCTGTGTACAGTCTTTAGTCCTGGTTCAGTCCTGGTTCAGTCCTGGTTCAGTCCTGGTTCAGTCCTGGTTCAGTCCCGGTCTGGTGCTGGGTGTGTGTGCTGTGTACAGTCTTTAGTTCAGTTTCAGTCCTGGTTCAGTCCTGGTCAGTCCTGGTTCAGTCCTGGTCAGTCTGGTTCAGTCCGGTTCGGTGCTGGGCGTGTGTGCTGTGTACAGTCTTTAGTCCTGGTTCAGTCCTGGTTCAGTCCTGGTTCAGTCCTGGTTCAGTCCTGGTTCAGTCCCGGTCCGGTGCTGGGTGTGTGTGCTGTGTACAGTCTTTAGTCCTGGTTCAGTCCTGGTTCAGTCCTGGTTCAGTCCTGGTTCAGTCCTGGTTCAGTCCTGGTTCAGTCCTGGTTCAGTCCCGGTCCGGTGCTGGGCGTGTGTGCTGTGTACCATCAGAGTCTGGCTCACACTGCTGCCTGCGGAGGAAGTGGGCGAGCAGGTTGCGAGCGCGTCTCTCCAGGTCCGACCCGGGGAAGTGCAGGTGCAGATAGGCCAGGAGCTGGTGCAGGGACTCGTAGTGTGGAGGGCTCCAGAAATCCTCCGAGTACTGGTCCAGCCACGCGCCCAGGATCGACGACACCGTACTGGAAAAAAACACACACAGACCGGAAAAAAACAATCACATGACCTGGACAGAACTGGGACAGGACTGAGGACGATAATATGATGATAAATATTGAAATACCGATATATCGTATTGTTTAATGTGATTATACGTATCGATATCGTGGGCTGCTGTATATTGAGTATTATTTGGTGTATTTTATTAAATAATTTTTTTTACAGGTACAGTTTTGTTGCCTTGTTTAAAGGAAAGAACTGGCACATTTGACATTTTCAGTGTTTTGATGATTAAAATACATGTGTTAGGGTTAGGGTTATTTTACTGCTTGGTGTGGACTAAATAATCAAACTCACGGTGTGAAAGAGCCTTTAGTATCAGAGACATGATTTAGCCTTTTAATTTTATTGAACCGTATCGAATTGATTTGAAATATATCGTATCAAATCGAAAGCTCACTGTATCGAGATGTGTATGGTACCTGCATATTCTTAAAGGTTGTATGGAGGATTTTTTTTCAGTTTCAAATTGTCAATGAAAGTTTAAAATACCATTACAGAGACACAGCAGCTTTGTAATTATGATGACCAAAAAAAAAAAAAAGAATGAAAATCTATCAACTGTGGACACAGTGAGGCCAGATAAACATCAGCCAATAGAAAACGAGGCTGCCTCATTTTCTATTGGCTGTTAGGTTGTCAATCAAACTCCTACATTTCTACTGTAGTGTAACTGACTCTTTGGCGCGCTGGGATTATGTGGTTTACGCAGTGGTTCTTAGAGTTTTTTAAAACTGTAGCTTCCTCGCATTTTACACAAACTTTGTTGCGATTGCGGACGAGAATCCACGACCAGTTTGCCACAAAAGAAAGTCCGTTTTTGAGGTCGCTGAAAGAAGAAGAGAAGGGGAAAAGGAGCAAAACCAAACTGAGGTGATTCTTGGAGATCTCTTCCAGCGATGGCACGACTGAAGCAAAGACGAAGGGTCTAAAAACTGACGTGTCGGTCGCTAAATTATTTCTAGACAGGTCACTTCAACAGTAAATCTGAACACGCACGGCTGTAAACAAACGTGATTTCTAGAGTAAAGAGGCAGGAGGAGGTGTTTCTACTGAGGGAGCTGTGGAGGAGGAAGGTGGTGTCACACATGCACAAGGACGGTCGCTGTATTTCTCTTCCCTTAAAAATCCTCTCTACAACCTTTAATGATACCAGCCCAAGGTATCGGTCCCATGATATCGGTCCAGTCGATATTCAGTCAGACACCTGCTCTCAGATTATAACATAAATCAGAAAATAACACGCGATTTCAACCTAAACGATTTGATTCAAACAGATAAAAAAGTGTTTCAGTTGTTGTCAGCTGGAATCATTTATCTGTGAAATCCTTCCGTTTGTTGCATCAGCGTCGGGGCCGATAAGACTGAAGTAACCGGATACTTTTACACAAATAAAGTACTGCAGTGTTCACTTTCTTCAGAGTAAACTTGTACTTTTACTGCGTCCGTCTGTGTGGGAGTGAAGACCGTCGGGTTCAGAGCTGATACACACCACCTCCACTCATCTGTCTGCCTTATCTTTACTCTATCCTTCCTCCCCCTCCCCCTCTTTCTCCGCCTCTCTCCTGCTCTTCTTTCACTCCGTTTTCTCTCTCTCTACCGCTCCTCACTTCTGTTCTTCTTTCAGACATTTCTCTTTCTCCTGCACTCTCTCATTCCTCTTTACCTCTCCCTCTTTCAAACATTTCTCTTTCTCCTTCACTCTCTCTCTTTTCTTCTCTTATTCTCTGTCCGTCTGCCTCATTCTCTCTCTCTCTCTCTCTTTACCTTGTCTTACTTCTCGTTCACTCTTCCCTCTTTCAGTCTCTCTCTCTTTCCCTCTATCCTCACTTCTCTCTCTCCGCTGCAATCTTCTCGTTGTCTTTCACCATTTCTCTCGCTTCCTTTTCTGCTGCCCTTACTTCTTGGTCCCTCTCTCCTTTCTCTCTTTCCTCTTTCTTGTATTAGTTTACCTCTCTCTCTCTCCTCCCCTTCTCTATCTGTCATAATTTCTTCTTCTTTTTTCTGTCTCATCCCTCTCTATCACTCCTTACTTCTGTCCTTCTTCCACCCATTTCTTTCCTCAGCTTTTATTCTCTTTACCTTGTCTTACTTCTCGTTCACTCTTTCCTCTTTCACTATTCCTTTCAGTCTCTCTCTCTCTCTCTCCCTCCCTCTATCCTCCCTTACTTCTATCTCCATCCCTCCTTCTCTCTCCACTGCAATCTTCTCGTTGTCTTTCAACATTTCTCTTTCCTTCTCTCTTAACTCTCTACTTTCCTTTACTTCTCTCCCTCATCCTCCCTTCTTTCCCTCCTCCCTTCTCTTTTTCTCTAGCTCTCTTTAACTCTCTCTCCCCCTCTCCCTCTTCTCCGTCCCTCTTTCTCTAACTCCTCTATCGTTCTTTCCTTCTCTCCTACCTCTCCCCACTTCTGTCGTTCTTTCAAACATTTCTCTTTCCCTTTCACTCTCTCTCTCGTCCCTCTTTACCTCTTCTTACTTCTCTGTCCTTCTCCCTCATTCTCTCTTTCTCTTTACCCTGCCTTACGTCTCTCTCACTCTTCCCTCTTTCACTACCTCTTTCCCTTCTCTTTCTCTCCCTCTGCCTTTCCTTACTTCTATTTCCATCCCTCCTTCTCTCTCCACTGCAGTCTTTGCCTTACCTTTCGCCATTTCTCTCTCCCTTTCTCTCTTCCCTCCCTCTGCTTTCCTTCACTCCTTCCTTGATCCTTCTCTCCCTTCACTCTCTCCTTTTTCCACTTCTCTTTCACTTTCTCTCTCTCTCTTTACCTTGCCTAACTTCTCTCTCCGTCTCATCCTTCTGTTTCCTTCACTCTCTTTCTGCAGCGCTTTTTGCACTTACATCTCTCTCTCCCCCTCCTTCCTATTCTCTCCTTCTTTCTCTCTTTTTCACCATTTTCTCGTTGCATCCCTCTCTCCTCTCCTCCCTCTCGTTCTCTTGTATCAGTCCGTCTCTCTCCGTCGTTTCTTTCTCTCTCTCTGGTGTCAGATGGATTGTGTTTTTATCGTGGGGAGGACTGATGTGTGTGTTTTGTTTTTTTTTTCTCTCAGACCATCACAGTGAAATCCTGCACCAGCTCCACTCCTCTCTGCGGGGGCAGACAGCGGGGCAGAAGAGCAGAGGGGCAGAAGAGGGCAGAAGAGGGGCAGAAGAGGGGCAGAAGAGGGGTAGAAGAGGGGCAGAAGAGGGGCAGAAGAGGGGTAGAAGAGGGGCAAGAAGAGGGGCAGAAGGAGGGGTAGAAGAGGGTAGAGGGGTAGAGGGGCAGAGGGGTAGAAGAGGGGTAGAAGAGGGGTAGAGGGGTAGAGGGGCAGAAGAGGGGCAGAGCGGTAGAGAGGCAGAGAGGCAGAGGGGTAGAGGGGTAGAGGGGCAGAGGGGTAGAAGAGGGGCAGAAGATGGGCAGAAGAGGGGCAGAGGGGTAGAAAGCTGGAACCAGGGGCTGTGGGGGCAAAAAGGTGGGGATGGGGGTTGGTTTAGTCCTGGTCTGTACTTGGTCTGTTCTTGGTCTGTTCTTGGTCTGTTCTTGGTCTGTTCTTGGTCTAGTCCCGGTCTAGTCCTGATCTAGTCCTGGTCTAGTCCTGGTCTATTCTTGGTCTAGTCCTGGTCTGTTTCTGGTCTGTTCTTGGTCTGTTCTTGGTCTAGTCCTGGTCTAGTCCTGGTCTGTTCCTGGTCTAGTCCTGGTCTAGTCATGTTTCTGGTCTAGTCTGGTGGTCTAGTCCTGGTCTGGTCTAGTCCTGGTCTAGTCCTGGTCTGTTCCTGGTCTAGTCCTGGTCTGTTCTTGGTCTAGTCCTGGTCTGTTCTGGTCTAGTCCTGGTCTGTTCTGTCTAGTCCTGGTCTAGTCCTGGTCTGTTCTGGTCCTGGTCTCTGGTCTAGTCTGGTCTAGTCCTGGTCTGTTCTTGGTCTAGTCCTGGTCTATCCTGGTCTCTTCCTGGTCTAGTCCTGGTCTGTTCTTGGTCTAGTCCTGGTCTGTTCTTGGTCTAGTCCTGGTCTGTTCTTGGTCTAGTCCTGGTCTGTTCTTGGTCTAGTCCTGGTCTGTTCTTGGTCTAGTCCTGGTCTGATCCTGTCCACTTCAGCTTTACTTTGAGGTGGGGACGGGGGCTTTAAAACCTTTCTACCTCCATCGAGCCCAAACCAGACCGAGTTACAGGTCAGATCTGTGGAGAGGCGAGGACTGTGTGGGCAGAGACGTGAGCTCGTGTTTGGCTCTTTCACAGTTTGGACACGTCTCTCTGTTTTGATTCTCCGAATGAACTCCCACTCCTTTCCTTTTCTTCGGTCTAATCTCGCCGCTGTTTTGATTTTGTGAAGCCTGACGGAGTTAAAGACGACATGTTGAGCTTTTGTGTTTTGTCTGTTATATCATCTACGGCGTCCCTGGATCGTGTTTTTCATTCGTGCCAAAATGACCGTGAGACGTTACTGAAACCTACGTGTATCATCGCTTAAAAAAAAAAAAAAAAAAAAAGCAAAACTGAAAACAAAGTCAGTACAGAGCGGTGAACGTGTTTTCTTTTGTCTCTTCTGGTTAAACGGGGATCCCAAACATGTCAGCGGAGAATTGGGGAAACGTTTTGCATCTTAAATCTGACATAAAGTCGGTTCATTTGTTTAAAATGTTTTCATGTGCACCAACAATTCACGCATCAAGAATCTCGGACTTCCGGTCATTGCGCAATTCATACTGGGAAGGATTTTCTGAAAAAGTGAGCATCAAACCTCCATGTTTGTTTTCCCAGTGGGATGTGTCTATTGTCTAAGTTGATCTTTTCAAGTCTTTTGAACCATATCACTTTTGTTTCTGGTTCTGATATTGTCATATTTTAGTTTTGGGATTCGGACATCGTTAATTGTGTGGTTGTTGGATCCTAACAGCGGAAAACGACTAGAGAAATTGGTTTGTGAACTCGACGACAAAGTAAAATCCGGTTTGTTAATGGAGAGGAGCAGAAGACAAACAGACTGAGCTGCACTTTCTTGTTCTTGTGGTTTTACAGAAACATCACATCTTGGTCTCTTTGCAGTGGAAGGTGTTTCTTGGTGAACAGTTGGAGCCTTTCACTTTGGCGTTGACTTTTTAAATTCGTAACCAAGACTAAGTGAGGGATTGGGGTTTTGCTTTGTTGTCGCTCCACATACAAAATGTTCTCTGTAAACTCGGGATGATTTAGGCAGTCACAGTTTTCCTTTTTGGTTCTTCCTGTGGATCAGTCCTGCCCATTGCCTTCACCTTTCACTATTTTTCAATTCCGTTGGGAAGAGAAACAGTTTGAACAGAGGTTTGAGTCACACACATCTGATTCACTTTTGTATTTATGGAGTTCGCAAACAAATTTCTCGAGTCGTTTTCCGCTGTTCTGCTGATCCAACATCCACACAATTACAATGTCCCAATCCCAAAACTAAAATATGACAATATCAGAACCAGAAACAAAAGTGATATGGTTCAAAAGACTTGAAAAGATCGACTTTGACAATAGACGCATCCCACTGGGAAAACAAACATGGAGGTTTGATGCTCACTTTTTCAGAAAATCCTTCCCAGTATGAATTGTGCAATGACCAGAAGTCCGAGATTCTTGACGCGTGTATTGACTCTGCACTGATTCTCGGAGGCTTTAAAAGGCTTTATCGTCCAGATCGAGTTTATTTGCTGTAAGGATTGAGCCTGATCCATGCCTGACCTCACAGCATTAGGATTCGTTCGGTCGACAGTCGGCGGGTACTTTTTTTATTTAACCAATCGCTTCTGTTTTGTCGTGACGTTTGTAATGCGGCAAAACACTCAGTAGTGTCCAAGTCATTTCCGGCAAAACAGCAAACAAAGCAAAGAGTGAACATGTCTGTCAACGATCACTGTCGTTTCTGCGAGATGAACTTGTGAATTAAAGGTGCGATAAAAAATGTGAAGTTTGTGTGCGGGCCGCACCTCTAAACCAGAACTAAAACCAGGATTAAACCAGGTCCAAACCAGGTCTAAACCAGGTCTAAACCAGGTCTAAACCAGGTCTAAACCAGAACTAAAACCAGGACTCAACCAGAACTAAAACCAGGTCTAAACCAGGTCTAAACCAGAACTAAAACCAGGACTCAACCAGAACTAAAACCAGGACTAAACCAGAACTAAAACCAGGACTAAACCAGAACTAAAACCAGGACTCAACCAGAACTAAAACCAGGACTCAACCAGAACTAACTAAATGTGAAGTTTGTGTGCAGGCCACACCTCTAAACCAGAACTAAAACCAGGATTAAACCAGGTCCAAACCAGGACTAAACCAAGTCTAAACCAGATCTAAGCCAGGTCTAACACAGGTCTAAAACTGGGCCTAAAACAGGTCTAAAACAGGACTAAACCAGGACTAAACCAGATCTAAAACAGGACTAAAAGAGGTCTAAAACGGGGTCTAAAACAGGACTAAACCAGGACTAAACCAGGTCTAAAACAGGTCTAAAACTGGGCCTAAAAAAGGTCTAAAACAGGATTAAACCAGGTCTAAACCAGGTTTAAACCAGGTCTAAAACAGATCTAAAACTGGGCCTAAAAACAGGTCTAAAACAGGTCTAAAACAGGACTAAACCAGGGCTAAACCAGGTCTAAACCAGATCTAAAACAGATCTAAAACAGGTCTAAAACAGGTCTAAAACTGGGCCTAAAAAAGGTCTAAAACAGGACTAAACCAGGGCTAAACCAGATCTAAACCAGGTCTAAAAACAGGTCTAAAACAGGTCTAAAACTGGGCCTAAAAAGGTCTAAAACAGGATTAAACCAGGTCTAAACCAGGTCTAAAACAGATCTAAACCAGGTCTAAAACAGGTCTAAAACAGATCTAAAACAGGTCTAAAACAGGTCTAAAACTGGGCCTAAAAAAGGTCTAAAACAGGACTAAACCAGATCTAAACCAGGTCTAAACCAGGTCTAAAACAGATCTAAAACTGGGCCTAAAAAAGCTCTAAAACAGGATTAAACCAGGTCTAAACCAGGTCTAAAACAGATCTAAACCAGGTCTAAAACAGGTCTAAAACTGGGCCTAAAAAAGGTCTAAAACAGGACTAAACCAGGGCTAAACCAGGGCTCAACCAGATCTAAACCAGGTCTAAACCAGGTCTAAAACAGGTATAAAAACAGGACTAAAACAGGACCAAAACCCCTCCGTCTGTGAAATATTGTCGGATATAAAATGGCACAAAAAAGGAAACATTGGTCTAGTGTGTTCTGATTCCTGACCGAGTCGCTGGAGAGAGATGAAACTGAGCAGAGGCACTAGGCAGCTCCAGCCTGCCTACGTACAAAATAATACAACCCCAGTGATGAAGGCGGCGCCCACAGAAACTTCCGGAATAAGGTGAATAAGAGAGAAAGTGAAGTACTGGAACGTTTGAGGTTTTGAGGTTTGAGACTCACTTTCTGAGCTCGGTGCACTCGTCCTGAGAGACTCTGTGAGCTGTGACAGGCACATTCTGTAGCTTGGCATATCTGAAAAACACAAAACAAAGACTTATCATGCTGCACAAAAAAGATTACAGAGTTACAGAGCACCGTGACAAGACAGTTTATCAGTTTGTACAGCATATACATTTTATAACACCATTTTAAAACAAATGTTCAGAGTCCAGGTTTAGATCCAGGACCGGTTCAAGTCCAGGGGGGAAGTCCGTTTAATCCGCACTGAGTTTAGTCCTGGTTCAGTCCTCACAACACAGATATTATGAAAGGGTTGAATTTTAAGTCATGGTTAGTCCTGTTTTAGACCTGGTTTGGTACTGGTTACTCATGCTTTCATTCAATTCAACTCATCTTTATTCTGGATTCATGGTCCATTTTTAAAGCCACAGCAGAGTCTCCACACGTTGGACTGATCGTTTTGCATTGAGTCTCGTATTTGTGAGTGACATTTATTATTTAAGTGTCTGGTTTGTTCAGTCTGCAAATAAAACTGAACATTGAAGCTCTTAGTGCAGCTTGCAGTGTTCACTTGAGCAGTAACAAACATCTCAGTCGTACTCGTCCATCGTGACCTCTTCAAAAGAACCACAAAGTGTCTCTGTTGGCACCTGCAGTCTTTGCAAATGGCTTTTTTGTAATTACTCCAGAAGTGGGTCGTGTACAGCAGTGTCACACACACACACACACACACACACACACACACACAAAAGCAATATCTAAAAAATATGCAAAAAGCAATATCTAGGTATGTTAAAATGAGTAGATTCATATATATATATAAAATATCAAAATATCGATATATATCATATTGTTTAATGTGATGATACAGTATCGATATCTTGGGCTAATGTATCGATATATCGCCAAGAGTATTTTTTGCTATATTTTACTCAATTTTTATTTATTCACTGTTTTGATGGTTAAAATGTTTGTGTTTCATATGAACTTTACACAAGAAGTGGTTTAACAAAGACTTTTAGTATCACAGACATGATTTAACCTTTATTTTTACCGAACTGTACCAAATCGCTTTGAAATATATTGTATTGAATCAAAAGTGCACTGTATCGTATCTTTATCTATGTATTGAGGTACGTATCATATCTGCAACTTCTTAATGATGCCCAGTCCGACTGACGAGTAAAATTATCTACCAATGGAATAAGTGTGTTTTTTCTTATTTCAAGCAGCATCACATTTCGTTTCTTATATTACATCCAAAAAGTTGTTGCTTTCCTTATTTTCAGTGTAGAAAGAAGTATTTTCATATTTTAAGTACAAAAAGTCTTGTTCTATTAGTACAGGGGTGCTCAATATGATCTACCAGTCGATCTCCAAGGTCGTGTGGGTAGATCGCCGTGTCTCATCTCGGACTCGCGTTTGGACTCGGTCTTGTCTCTCACTCGAGGTCTGACACTCAACAAGTGTGATCATATTTCATTCCGGCCGCTGCTGTTGGTAATAAACTTGTAGCGGGTGCAGGAGCGTGTGGGGCGTCTCAGTGCAGCCTGTGCGCTCATTTGAAACCCGCGGAGACTCTAGGGCGCATCACAAACACACACGCTCCCTATGCACGGCTCGTCTGCGACAGCGTGTGCCCTCGTGTACCAGCGTGCATCACAGGGCAGCTTCAACTTCCTAAACATCCTACCTGTCCATCTGCCTCACGTTGTGTAAAGTGCCAGAGGAAGTTCTCTTAAAGAAGAGGTTCTCAAACTGTGGGCGAGGGTCCAAAAAAGGGGCACAGAGTGTTTCAGTGCAGTTTGCTTGGCTTTGTATTTGGTAGATCATTTTGACTTGGTCATTTTGTAAGTAGCTCACATGATGAAAAAGTGTGAACACCCCTGTATTAGTAGATAATTTTACTGCTATTATTAGTAGATAAATGAAGATATAAACACTTAAATATATCAGAAAATGACTTAAAAGTAGTGAAATTATCTGTCCATGCAGCAAGACCTTTTTACTTGACAAGTTATCTTAAAATAAACTTCCTCTAGACTAGAATTAAGCATCTCTGGTCTGGTAAGTAGAAAATAAATCTGAAAACAAGAAGAATAACCTGAGATCGGTTTTAGAATCTTGCCCAGATCAGAGAAATTTGCAGTGTAACAACTTTATATCATTTTAGTTTAGTTTAACAGGAAAGTCTGTGTCTTTCCCGCTCAACTGTTAGTACGACGTCGCCGCGTGGTAGAATCCGAGGACGACCTGAAGCGCACCTGTTGAGCAGCAGGTCCAGCACTTGTCTGGTGGTGGCGAAGGATCGGTACGTGCAGAGGAAGATGGTGACGTAGGTGGAGTCTCTGTCCTTGAACGCCGTCACCATGTACTCCACCAGCCTCTCCAGCGTCCCCGCCTTAATCGTGCGCACTTTGCACGTCTCGTACAGGCTCAGCGCCGCCTCCGAGTCCACGCCCAGCCACCGCTGACCCTTACTGGCCGAGTGATGCAGCTGCACCTTCCGCAGCGTGATGGTGAAGACCGCATCCTCCTCGGACTCCTCCCCGATCTCCTGAGTGGAGCTCTGAGGAACGAGAGACAGAGAAAAAAAGACAAGGGTTAGATCTGGTTTATGTAACAGATAATACTCCCTACAACTGTCCTACAACTGTACAACAACTCACCCTTATGTGACAGATAATACTCCCTACAACTGTATAACATTGTGGCATTTAAAGCAGTTTACATACACATATTATATTACATTTATTTTAGTAACTTTTTTGAAGACATTTTTTTTTACTTTTTCTCAGGTATTTTTCAACCCCACACACCTTTCTTGGTGTTATACTCTTATTACGATAAAATAAACTGCTTTTATATTTATTTTCTTAACCATAATCTTTGTTCTGGTTTATTTTAGTTTAATTATGTGTTTGGGCACCTAAACAAAGCAAAGAGAGCTGAAAACTTTTGCTAACAATTTTCAAAGTTTATACCACTACAAAGTCAGCACTGAAAAGAAAGTTTTTTTTTTTAGTTTTTAGGTTTTCAGTTCACACATAACAAGAACTACAGTATATCTCTATAATCCCACGTTTAAAGGTGCATTGTGTAACTCTCTGCCACCTGCTTGTCTTCATGGAAATGTTATTGCTTTGTCTAAAATGTCTCACAGTTTGGCCTTAAACGCATCTATTTCCAGGGAATTCAGAATTGAAACTACTGAGAACTATTCAAGTGCTTGTCTCCATGGAGATGTTATTGCTTTGTCTGGAATGTTCCACAGTATGGCATTAAACCTTTCTATCTTCACGGAGACCAAACCAGACCAAGTTACCGGTCAGAATGTCAGTTTTTCTTGGTATTTTTGAGCTATAAAACCAGTTGTAATTGAAAAAAATGTAAAGTAAAGCTGTTTAATGTCACACTGTGGAACATTCCAGATAGACGGACCAGAAACCCAACCGAAAAGTTACACAGTGCACCTTTAAAGCCCGAAAGTAGGACGTCTGACACTGATTTGTAAAATGTGCGCTACAGAAAACCGCTGATGTCAACACAGTGGTCCTATTGACGACATTTAGGAACTTCAAATGATTCTAATGATCCAAACTCAAATCCTGTGAGTGAACGTAGCGAGGACGTCAGCTGGAATGTTCCACAGTACGACATTAAACAGCTCTACTTTACATTTATTCAATTACAGGTGGTTTTATAGCTCAAAAATACAGAGAAAAACAGACATTCTGACTATGAGCGGGGTCGCCTCTCCACAAATCTGACCCGTAACTTGGGCTCGTTCTGTCTCAGTGAAGATAGAAAGGTTTAAAATGCCGTACTGTGGAACATTCCAGACGTGCCCTCCACCAGAAAAGTTAATCAGAGCCAATGCATCCTCAAACGACAACAGACAAAACAGCAAAATTGTTTTCGTTTTCAGTGCTCTTACACCGCAGTTCTGATAATAGTCCTGGTCGAATCCTGGTTTAGTTCTGGTTCTGACCTGGTTCAGTCCTGGTCAAGCTTTTGTTTAGTCCTCCAAAGTGCCTTGTCATTATGTGAATCCAAAATATAAACTGCTAGTCTCACTGCTAGTTTAGTCCAGCAAAGCCCTATTATTATAACAACTGTGATGAAACAGCAGGACAGTCGACTGGGGGTAGTTTAAATACATTTTCTTTTGGATTTCTCCGTTTTAAAGCTCCTTGATTACACAAAATTGACTCTTGTGAGCTTTAAGTCATGTTATAATGTTGTTACCTCTTCAAAAACAGACCTGGAGTTGTGTTCGTATGTTTCGGATTATAAGGCACACTTAAAATCCTTAAATTTTCTCAAAAAGCGACAGTGCGCAAAAATCTAAATGTTTTAGTACGACTTTGGTAAACTACGAAGCTGCGCCGCTTGATGGATTGTCGGAGCGTTACGGCGACTGTAGTCAGGAGCCTCGCGGAGTCCGACAGAAGCTGAACCACATCAGCAGCACAATCAGCGATCTGTTTTTTTTCAGCGCTTATAGTTTACGCAAATTAGTCATGTGGTTTTAAGTTTTGTTTCTGTAAAACGTAAACAAATGTGCACAAAGCTGAATTACGCCACGATCTGCCGATGGATCGTGGACGCCTGGACTAAGGATCGGTCTCAAGTGTCATCCGTTTGTTTCACTTAATGCTCCTTATAATCTGGTGCAACGTATAGTCCAAAAAATACGGTAGTTTAAATACATTTTCTTTTGGTTTTCTCCATTTTAAAGTCCTATATTTCACAAAATTGACTCTTTTAAGCTTTAAGTCGTGTTATAATGTTGTTTCCTCCTCAAAAACAGACCTGGAGTTGTGTTTAATCCTTTATTATGAGTCTGTCTACATCTCGAAAGCCCAAAACACTCTGTTCCAACTTGTGATGTCATGAAGCTGTAGTTTTAAGTTAACAGCTCGCCCTTTTTTCAGTTTTAGTTCAGTAGAGATTAGCAATTCTAGACTGTGAAATCATCCAAATGATTCTAGTGAAGGTGAATATGGATTTAAATAAAACAAAACACAACTCCAGGTCTGTTTACAATGAGGAGACTACCATATTTCTCAGACTATGAGGCGCCTTATGTATTAATTCAGGTTGTGTTTACTGACCTTGAACTGATTTTCTGTGGTACACGGCACTCAAAAAGCTGTCAAAATGTTTTAGTACGACCTTCATAAACTACGAAGCCGCACCGCTTGATGGATTGTTGGAGCATTACGGCTGCCGTAGTCAGGAGCCTCACAGAGTAATGCCCAATTTACGGTCCTTAGTCCGACAGAAATGGACTGCATCAGCGCACAAGGAGTGACCTGTTTTTTTCAGCGCTTATAGTTTTTGTAAATGGTGCACCTTATAGTCCAAAAAATACAGTATTTTAAATACATTTTCTTTTGTTTTTCTCTGCTTTAAAGGTCCTATATTTCGCAAAATTGACTCTTTTAAGCTTTAAGTCGTGTTATAATGTTGTTCCCTTCTCAAAAACAGACCTGGAGTTGTGTTTTGTTTCATTCCATGTTTGAGTAACTCTTTATTATTAGTTTGTCTCCATCTCCAAAGCTCAAAAATGCTCTGTTCCAAGTTCCTTTTTTACCTTTATTTCGGTAGAGATTGGCAATTCCAGGTTGTGAAATCCTAAAAATGATTCTAGTGAAGGTGAATATGGAGTTAAATAAAACAAAACACAACTCCAGGTCTGTTTACGATGAGAAAATATTTAAACATAGATCAGAAAATAACATCATATGGGTAATTTAAAGGAGGTGAAATAACGTGAGAATTCAGAGACAGTATCCCGGGTTTTGTCCACGTTTTAGAGCTTCAGTCCAGCCCGTATATTCCCCCCCCGTCTGTCTCGTTCGGCGTGCGGCGTCTTTGGTGTGTGTGCTCCATCACTGTCGTTACCATGGAAACAGTCTGTGTAATGTGCAGACTGTGGGAAAAGACACAGGCCGCTGTTACAGGACGATCTGTTACCGCGTGGAGGAGGACAAGACAAATGGAGCGCATCTTTTACGAAATCCAGAAATCCAGGGTTTGTTCCCGTTTGGAGCACGCGATTTTCTCATCTATGTTTTATAACGTGGTTTCCTCATCACAAACAGAGCTGGAGGGTGTTTTGATTCACACATGTTTAACGCACAAACCTGCAGATTTATTAGGCTGAGTTCTTCCCTCAAACTTGCCTAGAAATCCAGAAGGATATTTGTCTGTATTTGTTATACAGGTACAGCGATGAGTCTGGATTTGTCCAGGCAACCCTCAAACTGACAACACTCTGTTCCACCTTGTGATGTCATGTGGTAATTAGGGATGGGTATCAGTAAGAAGATGCCGATATGATACATGTCTCAATACAGAGCACTTCCGATTCGATACAATATATTTCAAATCAAATCTCTACAGTTCAATCAAAAATAAAGGTTAAATTAGGGACGGGCATTCGATCGTCGGAAGAATTAACGATCGATTATCGATTAATCATTAAGGTTTTTATATTAAAATGATCATCATTATTATTACTATCTGCACTAATCTGCATAAATAAATTCAACTTTACGACATATAAACATAACGACTCTAGATCCACATCAGCTGTTTGACATTATAATGTGTTTAATTCAGTTTTGTTCAAATCTCACAGAAACAAAACTTAAAACCACATCACTAATTTACATAAACTAAGAGAAGATAAAACTCCAGCTCTTGTGTCGCTGATGTGGTTCAACTTGTGTTGGATTAAAAGACATGACTCAGGTGAATACAGGTCAGTGTGACCAGATTTGTGTTTGTCAAAACCAGGACAGAGTACGGGGGGAGGGGGGCGGGGCCTCGTCATCCACATTGAGCGACTCTCACCTGGAAAAACTTTTTCCCACTGGACACAGAAACATATGTGCTGCTTTATACACTGTGCACATGGACTCACACTTGTCCCCAACGCAACTGAAAGCATTGAATTTCTTGTACAAATCATCGTTAAATCCACATTTGTGCTTCGGTACGTTGCAGACTGACCCACTGTTTGTGTCTCGCTCCTTCTCGCACATGGAGGGACACGTATCGACCAAACACATGTATCGAATCATGACACCAGTATCAAATGAACAAATGTTTTTATTTTACTGAAAACCAAAGTAACTCAAAGCTGCTTTATATAACTTTTCTGGTGGTGGGTCCGTCACCTGCTTGTTTCTATGGAGATGTCATTGCTTTGTCTAGAATGTTCCACAGTGTGACATTAAACAGCTCTAAGTTACATTTATTCAATTACAGATGTAGGATTTATGGCTCGAAAGTACCTAGAAAAACAAAAAACAGGCATTCTGACTGTGAGCGGGGTCGCCTCTCCACAGATCTGACCTGTAACTTGGTCTGGTTTGGTCTCCATCAAGACAAAAAGGTTTAATACCATAGTGTGGAACATTCCAGACAAAGCAATAACATCTCTCCACTGGATTCTCCACCAGAAAAGTTACACAATGCAGTCCTGATGTAGACTTGGTTCGGTCCTGATCTAGTGGTTTAGTACCGGTCTAGTCCAGGTTTGGTTCTCGTCAAGAC